CTCCCCGAGCCCCCGCCGCGTTCCCCGGGTGAGCAGCTCTGCCCGAGTGCCGCTGACAGGAATCTGCAGTTTCCGGTGGGTTTGTGCCCCTCAGCCCAAACCCTGCGCTCCCCAGGGCGGACCCGATCCCTCAGAACGTCCCTCAGAACAAAGCACAAAGCTCTGCCTCAGCCTCTTCCTTCTGTAGTGCCCCGTCCTAAAATGCTTCAACATCCAACCTACACCTGTCCAGGCCGGACACAACATGTGGATCCAGACCGGTTAGAACAACCACCCTCTCTTCTAATTAAAACTGCCCCAGCTAACCCTTTGTCACGTAGTTCAGGTTTTTCACAACATTTCGTAGGCCCAGAGCTCTTGATAAGCCTGCCTTTATCAGCAAGCACTTGATAAGGTTGATTAAGCAGAACATTTCAACATCTACACATGCCAGTGTTGAAAGATTTTTTATTACCAGGTTCACATACACCCTGTAAACCATAATTCATTTTTTCTGTGTTTTACAGAGGGAAAATTGAGGCATAGAGCAGAACTCCCTGGTGAATGCTTGGCAGAGTTCTGGAGGTGATTTCTGAAAAGGTGAGGTAATACATTGCTTGTGCCACATCACATTTGTGCACCAGGAGACTTAAGGGATATGTAAGAAACAAACCTGTTGCTATCAATTTGTATTCAAGAAAAGTAGGACTTTAACAATATAAATAATACTCGACAAGGATACTTTTACTATTAAGAAGCACATGGATGGTCACCTAGGAGATGAATCCACGCTGGTTCCATTAGCAATCAAAAGCATCGTTAGTTTGTATTGTTTTGACATTTTCCACCTTATTTACAAGTAGGAAAATCACGGCAGATTGTCTTTAACATTTTTGCTTTGTTCTTCACACCTTTCTGATTTGCAAGATCCTTCACTTCCTTAAGCACAACAAAGGGAACGACAATCGATACCAACAAGGTCACTTGATGCTTTTCATGTACAAGGCATTCTTTTTAAAAAAGATGTAGTGAAAACATTCAAGAAAAATAATCGTAAGGATTTGAAGTCTTCAGAGGCATTGCCTGTACCACGTAGATTTGATCTCATTCCTTCTCAGGAAATAAACACAGCTCTCTTGTTATAAACAACTTCGGGTGAGATTTTTATCTACAGGGGCATTAAAACACCTCAGTAGAAGAATGAGTTTGACTTTGTCCTTCCATAAAAGCCTCTGCTTTTATCACAGACTCCACAGAATTTTGGCCACAATCTTTCTCTTTTTTCTCTCTACTGCTGTGTAGGATCCATTTGAGTGGAAGTCCAGCATAAGTTAAAATTTGGCAGTGTTAGGTTTGTGGTTATACTTGATCATCCTAAAATTTTTCCCAACTTAAGTGAGTCTGTGATTATAAAACACTAGTCTTTCTTTGGTGTGCTTTAATTATTAACCCCCTCCTCAAAACAAACCAGAACAGACCACCCCACAATCAACATTCTCAATGTCTCCCACTGGTGCCTGAGGCTAAGAGCAAACCAATTGGGATTTATCTTTTTTTTATCACTTTTTTCTTGGGAGCTATGATAACCCTCAAAAACAGTAACTAGAACTTCCTCCACATCTCAGAAAAACATTTAAGTCTCTATCCTCTGGAATTATATACTTAAAAATATTTTGCATTGCTGCTCATAAGCTATGACCAATGTTTATGTACATGTACATAACCAGTGTGGAGTGTTCACTATTTCTTCTTGTTTCTGTGCAAAATTATGGTTGAACTGTCACATCATGAGGGAGTACTACTGCACTAAGTCTTGACCTGTTCCCTAAAATCAATTTCTCTAAAAAAAGAACCACCTGCAAGAGACACATCTGACAAGGATTCAAGTGTCTCTCTAAATAATTGTATTAAAACAGACTCTTTGAACTCCCTGTTCCTCTATTTTCCTGTCCATCACTCTTATTCCTGTTTATTGGAAAGGGCTTTGAAAGATACAACAACATTAAACACTGAGGTTCTGCTGAGTCTGTATTTCATTCAGAGAAACAGTATGAAAAGGACCTGGAGAATCAGCAAAGGCATTTCATCTCATGCCCTTTTCCAAACCAGACCCATGTGTCATTTTGAGATTCCAAGCCTCAGTGTTGTAGCTTTGAAATAGACATTCCTTTCCTGTAAGATAGAAAAGAAAAATCAATTTGTTAAACAGAAAAAATGAATTAAGGATCAACACGAGGACCACAGCAGTGCCCCTTTTCCCTCTGTCCATTTTACAGCTCCATCTGAGGGACAAACTAAACAGGATAAATTATTTCCAACTCTATCACTCATTATGACACACCTCTAGACTGCCACTCTGGAGTGAGCTGAAACTAAAAGAGTCAGCCATGCTTAATTAACTCTTAGAAATGCTTCAGGGAGTTCTTCTGAAGTCACGCCGGGGCTCAGGGCCGGGGTTTGCCGTCACCTGTGACCCGTGCAATTGCAGAAGGCCACCAAAAGGGTGTGTCCTGCCCTCTCCCTTCATCCCAGCCCTCTGCAGCCTGTGCATCGCGCCCATCAAATGGCTGCAGAACTTCACTGGATCGACCTAATGAAATATTATTTTGTTTTTCCTAATGGCTGAGTTTGCTGCCGGATGGGGTCACTGCACTGACTGTCCCCGTGGCTGCAGCACCACCAGACCCAGAGCAGGAAAAGAGAGGGATGTACATGCAGGAGAAAGGGAACGGGCCCTTTCAGCAGCAGGCTGTTATTACCCCTAATTAGAGGCAATGTCAACCCGTTCTCTGGATCATTTATGCATGAACACAATCGGAGCAGGTGGCAGAAGTCCAAGTTTCTTTCCAGAAAGCCCTGAGAAATCTGTACACTGTCACAAGGATACTCACAGTTCTTTTTTTCTGCTAAAAATGTACTTCTGTATTTTCTGTAGGAGGCTGAATGGGCTGGCTGAGCACCCTGTGATTAATGTGATCCGGTGCTGAGCACACCGAGGTGCTGCCCTGGCAGAGCAGCTTTGCTAGAACGGATCTCCAGCTCCTCATGCAAATCAGCACTTCCATTTGTTCCTGTTACTGCACCCAACCAAATCAA